TTACAAATTACTCCTACTTCATGAGCATTCTAGTGTAACAAAGCAAAACAGTTAAGTAAAACAGATAAAACAGTGACCTGATCTGAATGTTAGAGCAACATTTCATACCTGCAGCCCCCTCCCCACCCATTTTTTGAAAATTAAAAGAAAGCTATTTTCTCTTCCTCCTATCTCCCCCCCCCATGGGGGAGAGGAGAAGAAAAGGAATAAAGTAGATTTCTTGTAACAAATATGCATGATCAAGCAAAATAGTTTCCCCCAATGGCTATACACAAAAATATATGTCTCATTCCAAACCCTAAATCCATCACCTCTGTCTAATAGACAGCATGTTTCATAAATATCAATCTCCTGGAATCATGAATAGCCATACTGGCCATAGTTAATTTAAGTTTTGAAAATTGTTTGTTTTTAGTTTTACTATTATGTCAGTTATTCTCTTGGTTCTTCTAATTTCGTTATTCATGCCTTTATTAAAGTCTTCAAAATTGTTCCTTTCTATAACGTATTATAAATTATTCTTCTTGTTTCTTCTTCACTCTGTATCAACTCATCTAAGTCTTTCCAACATCATCTATTTCCCCACTTCTTTTAGCACAATAGTACTCCACATTCATATAACCACAACTTATTCAGCCACTCTTCAATTGCTGGACATCCTCTTAGTCTGTTTTTTGCAACCACAAAAAGCTACCATAAATATTTTTGTACATAAAAGGCCTTTTCCCTCTTTTGAGTATAGGCCTAGCAGTGTTATAGTTGGGTCAAAAAATCTAATTTCCCAATACCTAGGTTGCAGGTCCAGTATGCCCAGATTTTTTCCCCTCTATCACAAGCTTGAGGAGAGTGTGACCACTTCCCCCCAGGATTCATATCATTTCAACCCCAGTAATCAGTTCTTCCCTTTTAGTGAAAAGCGAATCCAGAATTGACTTTCCCCTCATCAAGTCAAAACTGTTGTACTTTTAGCAGAAAGAGAACTCTGAACAGTTCCTGGATGGTTGATGCCTGGATAACTGAAGCCCCCCAATCAGGACTCTGTAATTCCAGACTTGTGATACTTTCCAAATACATCTATTTCCTCAAGGTGGTTTGCGTTATACTCCAGGTTTCTTGTAATCAAAAAAAAAAAAAAAAACCGTAAGGACCTTTGTCAGCAAGGTGATATCTCTGCTTTTTAGTATGCTGTCCAGATTTGCCAGAGCTTTTCTTCCAAGGAGGAAGCATCTTTTAATTTCATAGCTGCAGTGGCTATCTACAGTGATCCCAAGAATATCAACTCTGACACTGCTTCCATTTCTTCTCCCTCTATTTGCCAGGAAGTGATGGGACCAGTTGATAAGATTTTAGTGTTTTTGATGTTAAGCTTCAAGCCAGCTTTTATTCTCTTTTCTTTCACCCACATCTAGAGGTCTCTTAATTACTTTTCACTTTCTGCCATCAGAGTGGTATCATCTGCATACCTGAGACTGTTGATATTTCTTCTGGCAACCTTAATTCCGGCTTTTGATTCATCTATCCTGGCATTTCACATGATGTACACTGCATATAAGTTAAATAAGGTGACAATATACAGCCTTGTGTAACTTTTTTTCCAATCTTAAGCCAATCGGTTGTTTCACGTTTGGTTTTAACTGTTGCTTCTTGACCTGCATACAGGTTCCTCAGGTAACAAGTAATATGATCTGATACTCCCATCTCTTTGAGAACTTGCCATATTTTGTGGTGATCCATACAGTCAAAGGTTTTAGAGTGGTCAATGCAGCAGAAGTACATGTTTTTCTGGAACTCCCTTGCTTTCTCCATAATTCAGTGAATGTTGGCAATTTCATCTCTTGTTCATCTGCCTCTTCAAAAAACTAGCCTGCTCTTCTGATAATTCTCGGTTCACATGTTGCTGAAGCCTAGCTTACATAATCTTAAGCATAACCTGCTGGCATGTGAAATGAGTGCAGTTGAACATTCCTTGGCATTGCCCTTCTTTCGGATTGGGACATAAACAGATCTTTTCCAATCCAGTGGCCACTATTGAGTTTTCCAAGTTTCCTGGCACATTGAGTGCAGCACTTTAATAGCATCATCATTCAGGATTTTAAATAGTTCAGCTTGAATTCTATCACCTCCACAAGCTTTATTGTTAGCAGTGCTTCCTAAGGTCCATTTGACTACTCTAGAATGTCTGGCTCTAGATCAGTAACCACAACATCTTAGTTATCAGAGATGTTAAGATCTTGTATAATTCTTTTGTGTATTCTTGCCACCTCTTCTTACTCTCTTCTGTTTCTGTTAAGTCCCTACCATTTTTGTCTTTTATCATGCCCATTTTTGCATGAAACTTAACTTGGTATCTCTAATTTTTTTTTAAAAGACCTCTTGTCTTTCCCATTCTGTTGTTTTCTTCTATTTCTTTGCATTGTTCATTTAAGAAAACCTTCTTATCTCTCCTTTCTATTCTCTAGCATAACCAAGACTTGCGGCTAAGCAAGACTTGGCCCTCTAGATTTTTCACTCCATCTTTCCCCACCCTTAGGGAAAGTTTATGCAGATTTCAAAAGCTAATCCTAGGAAAGAAAAAATCCTAGGTGATGAGAAGGGCTGAGGAATTTCCAGGAAATCATGTCCAACCCAAGCTCAGGGACGGGCTGCATCCTCTCTCTTTCTGCCCTTCTGCCACATTAGACCACGAAGACAAACAAGGCAAAACTCCTAGGCCTAGGGCAGTGTTTCCCCTCCCTTGGGCCATCCTTCTAACACTTTACAAGGTGTTGTATATAAGTGCAAGGGTGTAAACCTCAAAAAATTGTGGAGACGGAGAGACCAAAAGCTGAGAAAGTCCCCAGGATTAGGCAGCAGGTGTCCCCAAAATGGTTAAGCCAGGGAGAGAGTGAAAACTAGGAATGTGTGTTACATGCTCTATTCTCTGGAACCAAGATTATTCATTTTAATTCAACTGAATTCAGAGGCTTTTTAGGGATGCTTTCACTTATTTTTGTAGTCATTCTTTATATTCTCTTGGTTTTGCAATATTTACCCTGTATCATATCAATCTTATTTTTCTCTGATTTCTTGAATCACTTCCATAATATTCCATTAGATTCACATACAATCCCCTTATTTTATAGATAAGGAAATTTGAGTCCAGAGAAGTGAAGCAAATTGCCCAGGGCCAATTAACAAAGCTGGGTCTCAAATCCAGGTCCTGTTAGGAATGAAGACTTGAAAATGTACCCAGTACCTGCTGTGGAATCCTCTCTGCTCTGTTGATACCTTTTCAAAATAGAAAATTTAGTTCTATCTTCTACCTTTCTAATTCCTTATCAAGCCATTCTTGAGCCTCAGTCATTCCAACTGTTGCTGCAAATTGTCCTCGAGCTCTGTACCCTCTTGAAAAGCCATTGTTGTTTTTGTTAGCTTAATTTTTACTTTGATAAGGATCTTTTTTGGGCCCCAGAATTTCAATATACATCTGCAACCGCCAAATCTTTTCTGTACCAGAAGAGTCCATGAAGAAACAGTAAGGCATTTATGAATAGATTAGTTGTCCCCAAATTCTACAGCTCACATACAATTCAATCCTTATCAGAAGCTACGGAAGGAAGGAAAGTAACTTCATGAAAGGTCTGGAATTCCCCTGGTTGGGGAACCCTGTACATCCCCCATAACCATGTTCTTTTGATACCAAAGGAAAAGGCCAAGTGTCTCCAGATTGATCATAGGTAGAAGTTCAATCAGTCATTACAAATACAGGCAATCTTTGGTCTGTGGCTTCAGCCAGACAGTTTAGTGGATCCCTGCAAAGAACCCCAAAAATCCCCATGGTAATTATAGAAAACAAAGGCAGAAAGAGCTAAAGAGTGTATCTCTACTGATTGGTGGATATTTTTGGTTTTTTGCTTAATAATGAGCTTTGGAGTTAAGCCAATGTTATGCCTAAATATGTTTGTGTATTAATCATGTCCCAGTCACATAGGTTACAATATTCTTGTTTTGGCTTTCATAGGTCATAGTATCTTAAGTTATGAATCAATATTTAAGTTACGATTTAGTATCTAAGTTATGAGTTAACAGGTCACCATGTTCAGGCTTCCACCTTTCACAGTTTGTTTTTATGACTTTTCCCTAATCGGGACCCCACATCTCATCACCCTGTTATTATAGAAACTGTATCTATTTTTTAAAAAATCAGTTATTTAACTGATTTGAGTGGCCACAGGAATTTTGAATCAGGGAGACTGGGACTCAGATTCCACCTCTGACACTTACATGCTATGAAACCATGGACAACCAAGTCACTTTAGTCAGAAAAATTGTTTATAAAATGGGATGAGTACCTCTAGTACTTACTTTAAAGGTTTGTTTTGAGGCTCAAATAAAAAAATGTATGTAGATTACTTTGCAAACTCTCAAGTTCTATATATGTCAATTATTATCTCAATTTAAAATTGCAAATAGATCTTGCTATGAATGTTGATGCCTCAGTGGAGGATATGTTTTTAAAACATCTAAAGCTTCTAAACTGTATATGTCTATTTGCATTTAAGGAAAACAATTAAAATGCTTCTATTTTTACTCTTAAAATTGTTATGCTTGAATGAGACAAAAATTTCTTAAGCATGGCAAATGTGTGGGTTTGTTTTGGTTAACTATACTCATTTGTCAGAAGGATCATGTTTTTCCCTTTTTGTTGGGGGAGTAAGGAGTACTAGTGATGGTGGCCAAAAAAGAAAAGGTTGTCATTGAAGCACCTTTAAAAATGCATAAGAAGGAAATTCATAAAGAAATGGACAAGTTTCAGACAGCTCTAAAACTAATGTACTAATTTTTTTTTTAAAGCAAGCTATACATACTAGAGATTCATGGTTCCACATATAATCCATTTTCTGTTCTACTTTGTATACAAGAATGTTCCTTTAGCGTGTGTGTGTGTGTGTGTGTGTGTTAAATTCAGAATAAATTTTTTAATTGTTGATATTAATAACTTTCGTCTTCTTTCTTTGCAGAAGCCAGATACAAATGGAATAGCAAAGCCTCCTTTTCTAAGGTATTTAATTTTATCTCAACAATCCTGTCTGCTGCGATTTTCCACTGTGCCCACAGGCACTTTATTCATTGGTTATAAGCTTACATACCCCTAGCTCTGGACATCTGCCTGGCAAATATTACGTACGAGGGGACATACATAAGAGCATGGATGGCTCAGTCCACAGTTATCCTTGCTATTGGAAAAACTCTAAAGCGCATGCCATACCAGTGAATCAGTGGCTTTATCCTATTACTCCCCTATGTGTGTTACATTCCCCAGTAGGATGGATGAAAACTCCTTCAATGTACGGATTGTTTAGCCTTTGTATATTCAACATAGTAAAACACTACAAATGTTTTCTAATTAATGTAGCATCAAAGGACAGTGGCACGTGACCATCATCAGTTATCTTGCCTTTTGTCCTGCCACTGGACCACAGTGACTCTGGAAGAGAGAGCGAGGCTGAGACCTTCATGCAGCTCTGCCTCGCTTAAATCCAATTCACCTACAAGTCAAGATACCACCCCATGATGTCACTGGCCCTCTTTGAAAACGAAGATGGAACAGTATCAACGACGTTTTCTACAGAGCAGAATTTAGTATGAGGCAGTTCCAAGTTGGAACCTCTCCAAACCAGGGCTACTAAAAGGATCATTACAGGGAAATTCCACCTATCAGGTGTGAACCCAGGGACGGTCCTAGGGCACTGCTGTCAATCAAGAAGGTACTCTCCACTCTAAGAATAGAGTGGAGAGTTCTAGATTTGAGAGTCCGGGAAAACCTAAGTTCCAGTCCCACTTCAGACCCATCATCAAAATATCATAGTATAGATCTCATTGGAAGAGACCTCAGGTAGAGGTCTTCTAGTGCAAACTCTCACTTTTTACGGATTAAAAAAAAAAAACTAAGAACCAGAGAATTAAGAGACAGGCATAGCTTTACACAGCCAGCAGTCAGGTTTCAAAGCAGGCTCCTAGGATTCCAAATCATGCTGCTGTGTTTACCCCAAGGCAGCATGTCATAATGAACAGTAGGGTATGCTTTGGCTTCATGAAGACCCAGATTCAAGTCTTGCCTCTTGACATCGACTGATTGACTGACCACGGGCTTATCTCATTACCCTCTGTTAATGTGCAGCAAACTTCTTATTTTTAAAATATTTCAATAACAGGATTTCAGTAGAATTGGTTTTCTTTATATTCCTACATATTTTATTTTAGGCATTTAAAAACATTCTGAGAAAGGGGTCCATAGGCTTCACCAGGATAAACATGGGGTTCATTACACAAAAAAAGTTAAGAACCTATTATTTACAATTGCTGATCTATATTGATTGGTGTTTGGAGTTTCCACACATATAAAGAATGATTAAATCACAGATCTGGAATATGAGTATTTTTTTTTTAAGTTTATCATAGATAATGGACTCAAGGTACAGAATGAGACATATCTTTTGGACATGGCCAATACAGGAATTTTGCTTGACTATACATATGTTGGAGACGGTTTTTTTTCTCTTTTTAATGGGCAAGAGAAAGAAGTGGGAGAGAAAATACTTTTTGTCTAAAAAAAAAATTAAGTGCCATTAAGTAAGCTAATACTAAGTGCTTTGCAAATCCTACTAAAGTGATATATTAAGCACTAGCTATTATTCTCATCACGGCTGAAAGTATGTGTATAGATAGTTTCATTAGATTGCTGGCACAACAGAATACATGAGAAGATTCTGATGTAAGAAAGAAACAAATGAGGGATATCTAGGTGGCGCAGTGGACAGAGCACTGGCCTTGAAGTCAGGAGGACCCGAGTTCAAATCCAGGCTTAGAAACTTGACATTCAGTAGCTGGGTGACCCTCGGCAAGTCACTGAACCCCAATTGCCTCACACACACACACACACACACACAAATACACAAATCTGATGGTGAGCTAAAATCAACCAGCTGTTTCTTTTTTATTCCTTGTACTAAGACAGACCTTGATACCCACTATTCTGATCACTGTTCATGACAGCTCTCCTGGTCTTGCATAATTTGCCCCTTAGTGAATCTATCCCAAGTTTCCTCCAAGATGGCATCTTCATATGAAACCCACAGAAAAAGAGCAAGATATACTTTTGTTTCATTTGTGTCAAAATAATTTAATCTTAACATTGATGTAAGCTGTGGTTTCTTTTGGGAGGTTAAAATTAAGTGTATCATTAGGTGTGATAGGATGCACTGTTTCAGTTTTCATTACTATACATGCAGAATTTACATTAAGTCCAAGGAAGTTAGAAATGTAATTTCTTAAAATTGAAATAATAGTTCAAATTGGCAGAGCTAATAATCAAACATTTCTGTAGCTTCTCTTCAGTAACTGGTTGTTTGGTTTTTTCTTGGTCCACAGTGGAGAAAATCCTTTTGCTACTGTGAAACTCCGACCAACGGTGACAAATGACAGGTCAGCACCAATAATTCGATGAATGAGTCAAGAAAATAATACCCATCGTTATTCCTCATGTAAACTACATGTTCAATATTATGATTATCTTGTTTAACATCTGCTTTCATTGTATAGGAATGGAAGATAACACAGGTTTTTCCAGTTTTCAATGAATCTGTTAAATTAAGGAAATCATAATTGCTCATAAGATTTGAGAGTGAGCTCACTTCTGTCTTTAAGTGAACATATTATATTGTAATAACCACCATAATTAATAACTTAAATGTTTTCTTGTTCATCTGTTTGGCAAACCAATAGACTGTTCCATTGATTCTCTGGGGATTGTAGCATTCTATTTTTTAAATGCATAATTTTATAGAAATAAATTGTCTTTGCTTTCATGCTCTCTGTATCCAGATGCAGAAATGATTCTTTTGCTTTAAGGTTAAACATGTGCTATATGAGCAATGGAACTGTAATATTTCATGGTTTTGCATCATGCACAGATAAGTTATTTGTGCTTAGATTAAGATACCATCTCAAATTGTAAAGTCTGTTAGTTTTTTTAACTTAAATTTTTATTTTTTAAAATCAAAGCATACAAATCCCAAATACAGAACTGTAAAGGGGAATCCACCTCCCTTCTGTAATAATCATATTCAGTCTTGGGAGAAATCATCACACATACAATCTTTAGAACCTTTCTTCCTAAGAAATTACTTCTAAAACTATTGAATATTGGGTTGTACTCCAAATTATAAACAAAATTTCAAAATACAATGTAGGATGCATTTTGGGATTCTTGTACTATACCATGTCAAATAAAACCTACAATGATGTACAAAAAACTGCCACAGTTTAACCAGACTTCTAAATATAGTTATTCATTAATGATCTTCCATTCTACCGCATCTCCCACCATAAATATACTCTGAGGTTTGAACACAGGTTTCTCCATCTTTAAAAGGTAAGAATATGCTTGCCCCAAATTGCAGTTATTAAGAATAGATTACTGCTTTGGTCAGTCTTCAATAATGAAATTATCTTGTGTTGGGTATTACTGTGTTTCAGCTGAGATGATAATTAGAACCTCTAGAATTCTGTGCTAGTCAAACGCCTCTTCCGTTAGTTTCATCTGAAATTCAACAGGGTAAACAGGTGTCTAACGTGAGGCCCACATGCAGCCCACAACACTCCTGGGTATGGCCCAAACCAGATTAAAATTTAATTGGGAAATATTTATCAAAGTAAACAAAAATACAATAAAGCATAAGTCAGTATGTCAGCATGGCCCGTATAGGGATCCTTATGTACAGGGTATATAATAGCCCCATTTCTGTTTGGGTTGATAGCACTGGTGTAAGTAGCCAAAGTTCATTTCTTTCCTCCCTTGTTTCCCAAAGTCAATCAAGTCTCTAGGGGCTACTGTGGAATGACATTCTCCCCTTATGAGTGAGTGGGGGGAGGAGGAACACAGAGCGAGGGAAACACAGACAGCCAGTATCTGGAATAAAACTATTTAAACCTAACCTATTGCCTGCATGTATTGCTACTCACATTTAAGCCAAGTTGTGTCCCTGTTTTTATTTTTTCCAGGTTGCATAAATACAAATTTATAAAGCACAAATGTTACCTTCCTTTTCTTAAGCTCAATTATTTGAGGTCAAGTAGTACATGCAAAAAATTTCAGTCTGTAAATCAGCTATCTCAGTCTCTTGTACGTGTTTATGAAAAGTCATCCTCTCAACAGCTTATAATATCCTGTAGCTCTGGTAACCTGGCTACTACTACAGAAAAGCTTATATACATAAAGCTGCTTCAGGACAGTTAAGCCCATAGCTCTTATCAAAGAAGAGCTAATCTTGTCTCTCCCCTGGTACAGTTGTATCCAGACAGAAGAACTTTATGTTTAAGTCAGACATAGCCTTCAGTCCTCCAGTATGTTACCCTGGAATTCCCTGAGCAGTTATCCTGAATACAAGTTAACTGACCATCACATGAATAAGCAACACCAAGGGTAATTATTGAGGCTTCACTGCCACCAAGTCTGTGGAAGACATGCATTCTGTACAAGAATGCATAAGTGCATTTAAGAAATAGATTTACCTTTAGAAAGATCTAGAAGTTTAACAGTTCTTTACATGCCAAGCATGCACACAAAAAGGAAGTGAAAAGAGGCTTAAGGAAGGGGGTTGGGGGGAGGATATTGGATGGAACAATACAATTGTATCATTTTGTTTCTCCCTTGTGCCTACAACAGATCTTAGAAGCATAGCACACTGAGGTAGTGAACTTGCTGTTTTCTAGTCTACTACTGTTCTTGCTATGTAGTTTAGAGGAATACCTCTGCCTGCCTGTCACCTTAACTACCTACCTACCTCACAAGGATGTTGTGAGGAATTTGCTCAGTTTGGATTTTAAAAATCTGTAAAGTTACATTCTGAGTGAGGTTATATGCCACATAAATTTCAAGATACTGCAGTTTAATAAAAAAAATCAATTCAAACATTCATTTTTTGTTCAACTGATTTTCTGAATTATTACTTTAAAAAACAATTCTGAATGCATGTTACAGTTGTGCTTGGGAATCAGGACTGGGTTGAAATCCTGACTATGCCATTTACTGCCCAATGTCACAATAATAGAAACAACCTCTCTGAGCCTCAATTTTCTCATCTGCACAGTGAGACTGAACTATATGACTTTCAAGGTTTCTTCTTATTCTACATCAATGAAATAACATGTCTAGCCAAAGTTACATATATTTTTAAAACCAATGTACAAGAAGCATAATCCATGTGTTCCAGAAGATACAGCTAACTATATATGCAATTAAAATGTAAAAGTTAATAATGTTAAACCAGTAGGCTGTTTTTGGATAAGTGGAATAACCTACTGAGAGATCGTTTTTGTCTTTAGAAAACCAAGCTAAGTAACCAAAGTAGTGCTTCTCTTGTACTTTTACACGTTAGATGTATTTTAAAGATACAGAAATTTACAAATCCACTTTTCATAACAAAACATGTCCAACATTCGGGCTATACTCAGTTTTACCATGGAGCACTGCACCTGATTTCACAGCAATGACTTCAGTCAGAGAGTTGAGGTGAGTTAACTTTATTTTTAAAAAATATACAGAAGTGACAATGTGCAAACATCAAATTAAGCAGGACCAGTTAAAATAGTATGAACTTCATTTATAAAAACAGCATTTCTCGATTTGCACAAAGTGAAAACTGCAAAAAAAGAAGCCATGTCTTAAATCAGAGTTGTCATTAACCTTGAAAGTAAGTTTGTTTTTTTCCATGTTCTGCAAACCACAAGCCCACGAAACATTGGCTATCCCATCACACTTTACAAAACAGTTCTGATACTTGATCAAATAAAGCTATTATACAAGACATTTACATTAGAAAAAAGAAAAGTGGGGCTAGGAAAGCTGGGTGTGTTGTTCCATTTAAAAATAAACTACTCCACAGTTTGGACATTTTTGCCTTCTCAAAGCAAAACAGCAGATAAATCCAATGGGAAACAAGAGAATGGCCAAGAGGATACCTAGGCAGGTGAAGGACTCTTCCAAAACACCAACTCTGTTGAGGGAAAAAAAAAAAAAAAGAAAAAGTTATACATAGATCATAAGACAGTTTGATTTAAGAGTATTGTTGGGAACTTGCTATAACTTCTTCCTGGATAAAAACAACCATTTTACAGATGGAGAAACTAAGGCTCAGGTCACTTATTGGACTGCTTCATCTACCTTCTCTTATCTGCCACAGTAAGTGGACATATGGTTTATGATTTAACAGCTACCACATATTCGAAGAAGAGAAGCAAAAACATTTAACTAAAGGGAGCTTTCATCCATAATGATAATTCATTTGGTCCAAAGACATGATTTCATGTTACTCCACCATACCGTAGACTATTTACAAAAACAGTATCTATAGCCTTCAATTTAATAGCTATGTTTCAATCAAAAGAAAACCACCTGAAAAGGTAATAGTGACTTCATAATGGGGGGAAGGAGGTTTTACAGTGAGGACCCACAAACATTTTTATTCACTGGCCATAACATTCATCTCATTCCTCTGCATAAACCAAGACCCAGAAGAACAGGGGAAAGGCAAGAACTTGGACATAAGGTAAATACCATTTACTATATTCTATGTACTTTAGTACTAAAATAAAGCTGAACTTTATGCAAAATCCACAGACTACCAATTAAGTCAGAATGAAGCACACTCAGCATTTCACCTAGATCATGCACAAATTTTACATACAAAAACAATTTTCCTTACAAGAGGGAAGGGAAAATGAAGAAACTTTTAAATACATCTTTCCTTCCAGACAAGGAAATGCAACGCAAAGTCTTCTATAACTGCAAGCTATATGGTTTCTTATAAAGCATTTTACATGGCTTCCCACAGTCAAACGTTAAGGATGCATCAGTCACTACATCTGGAAGGCGAGTTTCATGAGAAAGTTTAGCTCCATTTTTTATGAGTGTAGTGCCCTGAAATTTCCTGCAAGAATTTCATCTATATAATGAGCAACTGTTTGTGAGTCTATGGTGAAAGTGATTGGAGTTTTGAGTCACCTCCGTCTGTAGGATAAGGAAGTGAATGCCACTAACTTTGCAGCTATTCTCCAAACAGTTTCTGGACAGAGTCAAACTTAAAAACAACTGCTTAAATGAGTTCCAAATTCATTACTATCCAGTAGTTGCCAACCAGACTTCCCAGACAAGATAACACAAAAGGTAGACAAGGTTTTCTCCTTCCAACAAGACAAGGAGCTAAAGGGAAAGTGAGAAACAAGATTAACTGATATCCTCATTCCCTGAAATGAACCACTTCTATCACTGAGAATCACATGAGAATCAGCTGCAAGCAGAAGAATTGCGAATTAATAAACAAAGTAAAAATACTGTAAATAAAAATCAAAGTTAAATCTCTGGAGAAATAAATGCTACGACTTCACATTCATTTCCCCATATTCCCCTCCCCCCTGCCCTTTCCTAATTTAAAACTATTATCACTCACATCTTTACCTGGTTCCCAATTTAAGTTTGTCTCAAATTCCTGACAGAGTCAGGAAACCAGGGTTCTTGTCCCAGATCAGACCTTGACTACCTTCATGAGCTATCTCTGGCCCTCCCTTCCGGTGCTAAAATGCCATAATTATGCAAAAGAACTCTCCCTGATCTGTGTCAAAACAAGACTTGATGTTGACAACCGCAGGGACCTCACTCAGAAGAGGCAAAAAAGCAACCTCATTCTAATCCACTTGGCCTGGATGGAACTTTACAAGAGCTTAAAATATGTATTATTATATTCTCCTGATTCCTGGGTGTGATAAGCCTTGTCCTTGAGTTAGGGAAATAGATCATGTGCATATCACAGGCTTTCAGAAACATGTCATTTAGCCTTAGTCTCCTCTCCTTTTGGTTCAGCAGGACATGCAGCTTTTCTTTTAAAAGGAAACAAAAAAAAAAATTTAAGGCTTTTTATCCCAGAAGAAACAGGTGTAATTTTTTGCACACTTAATAAGATTAACGTATGCTTCTGTCGATTTCTAAATTCCCCAGATAACTTCTGTTCTAATTTAAATGTCAAACATGCCCACGTCTCCCTTTCCTCAAAAAACCCTTAATTCATCCATCCATCCATCCCCAACTATAATCACATATATCTCCTGTCTTTTATGGCTAAATTCCTTGTAGGTGCTATCACTTCCTCTACTTTCACTCTCTTAATGCTCTATAGTCTGGTTTCCAACCTCATCATTCAACTGAAACTGTTCTCTCAAAAGTTAGCACTGATCTCAATCCAATGGCTCTTTCTCAATCCTCATCCTTCTTGACCTCTTTACAGCCTCTGACACTGCTGATCGCCCTCTTCTTGATACTCTCTTCTCTCTAGGTTTTCAGGACACTACCCTCTCTCCTGGTTTTCCTCCTACTTACCTGACCTGTCCTCAGTCTCCTTTGCTAGATTCTTTATCCAGATCATGCCTGCTAACTGTTGCAGTTTCATGGTGTGTTGTGAGGTCGTCTCAAAGAATTCTGAGTCAGACCACCTCTAATCCAAGTTTAGGCATTTATTGAGGACTGACACTCCTCAGAAGCGGGCTAGGTTCCAAGAGGAACCAGCAACTTATTAAGACAATACAGGCAAATTTATAGTGTAATGTTGCTGACTACACAACAGAAATTATTAATATTAAAAAGGCAGGAGGGGTTTGTTAAGGGATTAAGTAATAGGGGAAGGGTCCCTTCTATGGTTCGGTGGTCAAACATCCTGGTCGTGCTGTTTTCTGATTGGCTAGCTATTTTGGTCCTGTCTGGTCAAGATGGATAGTTAGATATTATGGTCTTGTCTTGGGCTAAATGGATGGTGTGATTGTGGTTGAGCAGAACACACCTGTTCTGGGGGCAGTGGCTGTATTGAGTCTGGGGCCCTCAAGTGTGGTTAAAGCCAGACTGCATGGTTAAATCAGGACATGCCTGCTGTTCAGTGGGGCCCATAAAGAAGTTAAAGTGTTCAGGCGGGGGGGGGGGGGGGGGGGGGGGGGCTTTATTAGGATTCCATCACTAACCCTGTCCTAGGCCCTCCTCTTCTCCCTCTATACTATTTCACTTGGTGATCTCATCAGCTCCTAAGGATTTAATTATCTCTATACTGATAATTCTCAAATCTACTTATCCAGACCTAACCTCTCTGCTGAACTCCAGTCTCACATCTACAACTGCCTACTAGACATCTCAAAATAATGTCCTTTATATATATATCTTAAATTTAGCATGTCCAACACAGAGCTCATTATTTTTCCCTCCAAACCCTCTCCTCTTCCAAACTTCCCTGTTACTGTTGAGAACACCATCATCCTCCCAGTTACAGACACTTGAAACCTAAATGTCATCTTTAACCCCTAACTCTCAATGTCCCATATACAATCTGTCGTCAAGTACTATCTCTTTGTACCTTTCTAACATCTCTTGTATACTCACCCTTACTATGAAACTGCCACCACCCTGGTGCGAGAGCCCTCATCACCTCATACCTGAACCTTCTGGTTGGTCTCCCTACCCCTAAGTCTCTCCTCACTCCAATCTATCCTCCACTCATCTGTCAAAGTGATCTTCCTAAAGTTCTGACCATGTCACATTCACAAACACACCCCTAACTCAATAAACTCCAGTGAATCCAAGATCGAATATAAAATCCTTTCATAAGCTAGCCTCCTCGCCTGGTGCCCCACACCCCAACCTTTCCAGAACTCTTCCATCCAGTGAGACAAGAAGCTCAATCTCTCACCTAAGAGCATTTTCATTGATTGACTCTCAGCAGAGAATGCTATTCTCCCCCCCACCCCACCCCACCCACACCCACACCCAATATCTCTGCCTCCTGGTTTCCTAGCTTCTATGGGAAGCCTTTCTCAATCCTTTTTTTTTTTCTTTAAAAAAAAAAAAAACAAATGTTGAGGCAGCCAGGTGGCGCAGTGCATAGAGCACTGGCCCTGGAGTCAGGAGGACCCAAGTTCAAATCTGATCTCAGACCAGACGCTTACTAGCTGTGTGACCACAATTGCCTATAAAAAAATAATAAATTCTTCCTATTTAAAAAAAAATGTTAAAAATTGTTTTTATATATAATTGGGAAAAATAAAATATTAAAAAGAGAAACATTAGTTTTTTAAATTGCTTATCTTCTCAAAGAGGGAGGGAGAGAATTTGGGACTTAAAATATTAAAAAACTAATGTTAAAAAAAGATAAATGGAACAAAATATAAAACTAACTTTTAAAACGTTAATAATGGATTAAACATTCCAATAAAATAAAAAGGAATGAAAGACTGAATAAGGAAAAAAATGCTGTGCATATCTGTGGGACAATTATTGTAAAGCCAGTTCTCTTCCACTGTCATATGTCTGGTTGATAAAGAAAAAATAATCTGTAATATTGAGAATATAAAATGACATTCTAATTCTCTAGTCACTTAAAGTGCTCAAACCAGCCAAGTTTCTCCATAAATGGCCTCATAGTTTCTACCTTCACACCTCACAACTCAATTTGGATTTTATTCAATAAGCATCTATTTAACAAAAATTATGTGCAAGGCATTATGCCTATGGTACTGGAAATACAAAAATGAACTGTTCCTGCCTTCAAGGAGCTTTCCTACTACTGGATTTAACTAATCATCCAGTCTACAATAATGCCAAGGCTGAGTAAGCCTGCCAACTTGATAAGGCTAATTATTAGTGTTTTCTCAAGCCCTGGAGGATAATGAACTACTGAGGATGACGTTAACTTATACCGTTCTACCATGAAACTTTCCTAACAGTAATACTTCGATCTGGAAACTTCCAGCTCATTTTCTGAAACATTAACAGTTACAAAAGCAACATTAAAGGCACTATCAAAAAAGAATCAGAACAACATTAATGCATTGTTGGTGAAGTTGTGAACTGATCCAACCATTTTAGAGAGCAGTTTGGAACTATGTCCAAAGGGCTATAAAAATGTGCATACCCTTTGACCCAACAATACCACTTCTAGGGCTGTATCCCAAAGAGACTATACAA